TCTCAAAACAAGATCAAAAAGACTTTTTGGCTGATATAAGATTTTAAAATTTGGTTAGGTGGACAGTTTTTGCAGTGAAGTTTGTTATTTTCTTCCTGATTAACAACATTTAAAGCACAAGATCTGCTTTTAGACACAAATACGCATTTTAAAATGTTTTACTTTGAAAACTACAAAAAAAGAGATGAGCTCCAACTTAGACAGTCCTCTTCACTGGCTGTTTTTAAAACTCRTCTTAAAACCCACTTGTTCACTTTGGCTTTTGACACTGTAGAAAAGGTTGTGTTGTCCATTTATTCTGGATTTTATTTTTTGTAGAATTTTTTTGTTTTTACTCTAGATTTTAAATTAGGCTTTAGGCATTTTATTGTTTTTATTCCTTGTTTTTGCTTAGTTTTTTATTACCTGCTTTTTTATTATTAATTTCTTGATTTTGATTGAGTTTATTTTTGTATGAGCTGTGTTGGAACGTTGTTTCTGTTCAGCACTTTGGTCTTCTATGGTGCAAAAAGTGCTTTACAAATAAAGTTGGATTGGATTGGAAAAACTGTTCTTTCTGAAATATTTTTGTGTTTTTCCTCATCTCTGCTTGTCTGTCRTGTCTCCACTCCTTTATTCAGGCAGAAATGTTAAAAAACACAAATAAACTGAGAGAAAGAGAACACACATGCTAACAATATCTTCTTAATTTTTAAGATACATATACGTATATAATAGAAAAATAAAGATGTTTAAATGGAGTCCTGTTTTTCTCACCTGACACAGTCTGATGTTCTGGTGTTTGTCCTGCAGATGGCGCTCCGCTGAGCGACATGTCCTTCTCCTCCTCCCTGGCTGTGGTGGCCATCTCCTTCTCCGGCCTCTTCACCTTCGTCTTCCTCATGCTGGCCTGCCTCTGCTGCAAGAAGGGCAAGATGGGCTTCAAGGTGCGTCTCTCTCCCAAGGAGCGAAAATTCTTTAATCTAAAAATAACAATAATAAAATAAAGAATAAGGGGAAGTTTAAAAGACACAAAAACATAAATGTTTGTGTTGGATCATCACCACAGACCATGTGAACACGAAACGGTCTGAWCGTCTTTATTTCCTGTAGTATTCCATAAAAATCAGCTCCTCAGCTCTGCGTGCAGAGAAACACTGACAGGAAGCRGATGAATAGTAAACAAAGCAGGGTGCGTTTGTGGAGCAGCTCTGAACAGGGTCACAGAACTGAAGAAAACAGGACGCAGGAAAAAGGATTTTATCCTCAAACTCTGTGAAGTCTTGCAGACATTTTTAATATTAATGAACCTGCATTATTTATTTACATYCAGACACTTGAGACATTTTTCTTCTTCACCGCCTGCAGCTGCACATTATGAAGCTTTAGCACAAACTCTACAGGGATTGATGGTTTACAGGTGGACCGCAGGGTCCTGGTCATCACCARCAGAAAGTCTGAGAAATAGTACAACCAAAGTACTTGTCAAGTACAAGATGACAAATCTTTGCACCATATGTAGCTGCAGAGCATAAAAATACAACCAATGAAGTTTGGATGTTGTGTAAAACATRAATAAAAACAGAATATGATGATATGCAAACGCTTTTCAACCTTTATTCAGTTAAATACACAACAAAGACAAGATATAAGGTTTTTAATGCAGAGATTTGATTCTCTGAATCTTTTGATGATATTATGGACTGTAGATGATGAAATCACTAAATTCTCTATAATTGTACGTTGAGAAACGTTGTTCTTAAACTGTTGGACTATTTTCTCACGCAGTTGTTCACAAACACTCGCTTGTGAATGACTGAGCCTTTCAGGGATGCTCCCTTTCTACCCAGTCATGACACTCACCTGTTTCCAGTGAACCTGTGGAATTATCCAAACAGGTGTTTTTTTGTATCATTCCTCAACTTTCCCAGTCTTTTGTTGCCCCTGTCCCAGCTTTATTAATCTGTGTTGCAGCATCAAATCCAAAATGAGTGAAATATCTTTTGTTTCTGTCATGTATTCGTTGAATTTTTTTTTTCAAATCATCATGTTCTGTTTTTGTTTGTTTTGCACACGGAACTGGTGCTGCTGTAGTACTTTTGAAGCATGTGAATTGTACAATGACTATGCATCTTACTGTTAGCACAAAACCCTCATTATATTTTTGCAAGACCAGTCCAATTTGCATGCTCAGCTGGTTGACAGATTTATTTACAATAAAATAAAATGTATTTATTTAGTGTCTTGTTTTTAGAGAATTGATGGTAAAAGAAAAAACATTTTAAGTGAGTCAGCTGTTGAAAGGTTTTACTTTTGATAAAGCTCTAGTTTGATAAAAGTATATTTTAATATTGTACACTTATACACTAATGTTTGAGTAAAACAGAACACCAGAAAAAATATTCTGAGTGAGAAAAAAATAATAATTTGTAAAAATGATCATGAAACAATTTCTCTGCATCTGTAATCAGACTCAATCTAATTTCTGTTTTTGTTTTTCTGCTGGGATCCAGATTTATTCACACTTGTCTGAAGAACAAGATTTATTC